CTGCTTTCGGCATTCATCGCCAAGTCCATCTTCAGTACTGAAGACAATGGTCACGTAGCCAACACTGAAGTCAATGATGACAATGACTCTGCTCCCACCTACTGCTTCATGGCAAGAGGTGCTAAGGTAAACTCATGCAATGCTTACTTTCAGATCTCTAGTGAAGATGGCTCTGAATGTGAATCCAAACCCAGGTATAAAATTGTTGCTAAAATTGCAACTGAGCAACAAACTGCTATGGAAAAGATTCAAAAATTGCTAGACAAAAGCGACGACCTGTTGGACGAGGAAATGAATTGAACTTAGTCCTTAATCAAAGACATAAAAAATCTTTGAGTTAAATATGAGGAACTTGAGAGTCGTCATTAAACCCTCTCAGCTGATCATGAGAAGCTTTCCTATGATTATCTTCAAAGGAAGCAAGATCTAGAAAAACTGAGAGCGTCTCATGAATATCTTCGAAAACAAAACGATTCACTACTCGCTCAACAAATCAGTTCCGCTTAGGAAGAGTTTGTGCCACCTTGCTTAAAATGTCTTAAGCATGATAATGCTATCTCTACTGCTGAATGTTCAAATGCTTTTGAAGTTGCAATATCTTCGACTGCTGATGTGGTACCTAACCCCTCTTCTGAGGATGCCACTACTATTGCTGATGAGAATGCCAGGTTGAAGACATTGCTTGAAACAGGCATGTACAAAAGCCTCAGAGGGCATCAAAATCTATGTGATGTCCTCAAGAAGCAGATTTTGAACCGAAACCCTAGGAAAGAGGGTGTTGGTTTTGAGAGGAAAATGAATGTTGATGGCTCCTACTCGAAGCTTGAGCAGTACCCCAACACCAAGTGGGTTGCTGCAAAGGGCCCTTTAGTGGATCCATCCACCTTATCTAGTTTCACTTGTGATAATCCTATCATCATTGATGAGTCCTTTGACTCTAAGTATAGACTGTTCAAAAATTAGAACAGTGAAGTGTTTGCCAGGTTTATTGGAACTAACTACAGGAATGGGCCACCTATGAAGAAGATCTGGGTTCCTAAAAATCGTCTTGAGAAGCTTCCCATGAATGTCTTCATGACACAACCAGGGAAGAAGACAAACCCAAGACCGAAGGCTTCATATGGCCCAAAGGCTTCATACAGACAGAGGACCACATATGGTCACCCTAGCGTCAATGTTTTGCAGGGAAACTATCATTAGGCTCATGAATATGAGCATGTTTCTTCGAACCGCTATGTTCACAGATCGAAGAACTTTTCTGCTTATTCATTTGAGTACTACTCATCTCCTGCAAAATTATTTGTTAGGGCTTCAAAGCCAAAATTCTCAGATGCTGCACTTAGACTCTTTGCTTCCAAGCCACCCCTCCAGATGTGGGTGGTTAAGAATAGTTAACTTCTCTTGCAGGATCGGGTCTCCAACTGAAAACCATTGACTTTTGAAGACAATGCTGGGGACGTGAAAAATCTTGTTGGGCGCAAGATAAAATGTCGAAATCGTATTACCATTTATTTCACCCATGGTTTTCTTGATGATCGTCCTACCATATCCTCAACTATACTTACCAATGATGAACGTCTCTATCGATACATGTTTGTTCTTCACGACACTCTTGATGAAGACTATCCTACTAACTGCTCTGTAGGGTACAACTCCAAAAGCTACTAAATGGATCATGGATAGTGGTTACACTAACCACATGACTGGTGATCGAACTCTTCTCATGGATTCTACTCTTCGACCATCTACAAAAGCCATATCACATTTGCTGACACTGGTAAAAGCAAGGTATTGGGCCTAGGTAGGGTTGCTATCCCAAAGGATCTATACACGGATAAAGTGATGCTTGTTGAATCCCTTGGATACAACCTAATATCTGTCTCAATGCTTTGTGATCTTGACATGATTGTGATATTTGGAAAATATCGATGTCTTTTCTTTAAAGGATGGGGTTTTGAGATCCTTTGCTGGCATCTCGGCGCTGCAAAGGATCTCTATCTTTGCAGATGATGTTTCTCTTTCCTTTAAGCCGATGTCACAAGACCTGAACCTCGTCAAGATGGTGCTGGACGCGTTCGGAACTGCTTCTGGCCTAAAGGTAAATGATCAGAAATCAAAAGCTATTCTCATCAGAGGCACAAAAGAGGATGGGCAGCGCGTTGCAAATATTATGCAATGCGATCTGGGTAGTTTTGCCCACAAATACTTGGGACTCCCCCTCATACTTAATCAACCAAGTAGAGGCGATTAGCAGCCGCTCCTTGACAATGTGAAAAGTCTCCTACCATCCTGGCAATGGGGCTTCATCTAGAGATTGGGCCGTCTGGTCTTGGTGCAGTCGGTTTTGACAGCCAGGCCAATCCATCACATGATGATCCTGGATGCTCCAGATTGGGTTTTCGATGAGATAAACGCATTGATGCAGGCTTTCTTCTGGAAGGGTAAAGATAAGATCATTGGGGGCCAATGTCTAGTGGCTTGGAACAACATCCGCCGGCCCAAAATCTACGGTGGCCTCGGTGTTAAAAACCTTAAACTTCAGGCCCTGGCGCTACGGGCCTGCTAGGAGTGGTTGCGGCGCACTGACCAATCCACACCATGGCAGGGCATCCAGTTCATGGTTGACAAGGAAGCAAGGGAGGTTTTCAACAGTCTGGTATGCATCACCGCCGGGTGTGGTAGTGCCGTACTTTTCTGGGAGGATCAATAGATTCAGGGCAGCGCTGTCGCGGACATCACGCATACCATCTTGGCACTAGTCCTGACGAGGACGAAGAATCAGCATACTGTCCAGCAGGCTCTCTCTAACACCTCCTGGGAGAGAGAGATCGAGGGAGAGATCCCTTTCATGGCCTTAATGCAATCGATGCAACTTTGGATGATCATAGCGATGACTGACAGGGATGCCCACAGCCTCGAAAAGTTCACCTGGCTGTGTGAAACCTCAGGCTCTTACACGGCACGCTCAACCTAGAGACTCTGCCTCGGTCTAATACAATCGTCTGTCCACGATTGCATCTGGAAAAGCTGGGCCATCCTCAAGTGTAAAATCTTTGCATGGCTTGAGTTGCAAAGAAGCTTTGGACATCCTACCAGCGCGCCCGTCACGGCTTGCAAGACCATACTTCGGCATGTTACACTTTCCTGCAAGAGGAGGACACCATGGATCACATTTTAATCCAATGCGTCTGCGCGAGAGATACCTCTGCTTTTCGGACACCAATGTGGAAGTCAGCGCCCCTCAACCTCACCACTTGCTCAAAGATTGGTGGTCCTTGGCGAGGCTTAGCCAACCCCGAGCACGTACCCGTAGCTTCGATACCCTGATCATCGCTATAATCTGGTTACTTTAGAAAACAACGGAACGCGAGAATCTTCAGTAGAATGGACCAACGCCGCTCGCCTACACAACCAGCTTCTCAAGTGCTCGCCAAGATTCATGAATGGCACACCGCAGGAGTAGGACACCTAGATCCCTTACGAGAGAGTAGCTTGTGTGAGTTGTAGGGATGGGTGTCGGCTACATTGTATGTTCGCATTCGGTGCTAGTCTCTTGTGCATGTCTTGCTTCCTTCTATAAAAATATGGTACGTCATTGGCGTATTTTTGAAAAAAAAGTGCGAGAGAAAGATGACACACATGTGTCATAGGATCTGCCCAGATCCAAAGAAGCGCGTGCGGTCGACGCCAGCTTTGGCCGGTCGCCCAGAAGCAAATTCTTTATTTTAAAAAACACACAAATGCAAGATTGGATGTATCAGGTCGAAATCACTGTTCTGACCTTTTCAGCAATCTTTGCCACAAAGTGAACTCGACATGAAAATATTTCACGACTGACCCTTTTAGCAATGTCACAACCCGTGACGTTTTTCCTCCATATAGAAATGTCGAGATAGCTCGCGTTTCAGCTCCACATTCAAACACCCAATAGCTCGTGTTTTTGCTCCACATGGAAACACGGATTACTGGCGTTGCTGCCCAGGCCGAAAAGCGTTTCTAGATGGCGAGCTAGCTTGAATAGGACAGATAGATGGAGTAGAGTACGGTAAAGAAATCGACCACCTCTGTCCTGTCAACTCAGGCAACAGTTAGCACTTAACAGCAACCCATCCATGCATGCATCCATGCATGCACCGGCTCCTATACGTCTTCAGACAGAAGACTAGAGAGTACAGATTACAGAGAAGAAAGGGAACTTTGTTTAAAAAAGAAGAAAGGAACCCCTCACCTCAATAATTAATTTAGCGCCATAGCGATCACATGCATTCTCCCGAGACTAAAAGCAATGCGAGGAGGCATGGCATTCTCAGCAACGCCAATATGTTTGGCGTTTCTGATAGCCACTCAGGCCAGCTACGCCTAACGGTGGGCCTGATCTGAAACGCCAACGACCCTGGCATTTGTACCTGGGGAAGAAATGCCAAGGCTCCTGACGTTTTCAGCAACGCAAACTGGCTCGGCGTTTCCAGCTTGTCATGTCTTGACCATAGGTCAGGGCAGTAACACGAGCTAGCTCGGCGTTTCTGTATGGCTCAAAAAAGTCAGATCATGAAATACTTTTATGTCGAGTTTAATTTGTGACAAAGATTGCTGATAAAATCAGAAGAGTGATTTCGGCCGATGTATCACCGCCGGGCCGGCTGTCCGGCCACTCTATATCGGAATTGACGTGACACTGACAGTAACGACCCACGCTGGTGTCCATGATAGTTGGACCCCACAAGCGTCATCCGCCTCCCATTCCCGCAGGTCTTCACAGCTCTTCTCTTCCTTGACTTGACACCTCTTCCTTCCCTTCTCCGGAGCCGGATCCCCTGACGTACGGCTACCTGACGTTGGGCCACTGACGCGTGGGTCCGGATTCACACGTTAGCGAGTGCGCCGTCTGCGTCCCCCTTCTCCTTCCCCTCGCGTTTATAATAAGACGCCGGTGCGCTGCTCCGGTGGCAACCTCGCCCTCGCGCCTCCCTTGTTCTCATTTCTGACCACCGACGGGGGAGATGGCGTCGGAGCCGGTGGCGCGGGCCGTGGCGGAGGAGGTGGCGCGGTGGGGCGGGATGAGGCAGACAGGTGTCAGCCTGCGCTACATGATGGAGTTCGGGGCGCGCCCCACGGAGCGCAACCTGCTGCTCTCCGCGCAGTTCCTGCACAAGGAGCTCCCCATCCGCATCGCCAGGCGCGCGCTCGACCTCGACTCCCTCCCCTTCGGCCTCTCCCATAAGCCCGCCGTCCTCAAGGTGAATCCCTAACATACGCACGCGATCTTCGTCGTTGCTGCTATTACCACTTTTGCCTGAGAGAAGCGCTCGCCACTTGTTTCATAATTCAGGGAAACGGCTTAAGAGTGGGTCAATTTGCTGTGCGGTTTCCCTTTTTGTTCTCAATCTGGTTTGATTCTTGTGGAAAATCAGGGATTATTTTGCCACACTTTGCTTTCCGTTTGGAGTAATCTGAATAGGGCTTTTCTTCGAACAGTTGGTAGTGGAGTATTCGTTCGTTTCAAGTTTTCTCGTATGTGCTTATGTCGGGAACACAGAGATAACTACTCTAGATTTTTATTTAATGTACTAGAACAATGCCCGTGCGTTGTAACGGGATATAAATATTCTAGTACGTTAGCTTATGATTTACCTTACCATATTAATATGATTGTGTAAATAAATGTTTATCAAATTCTGCTCGTGATTTACATTACATTTTGACAGAAGTTTGATAAGTAAATTAAAGTGAAATTGGTTTATAAGATAAGTAAATTAAGGCGATTGATTACCATATGGGGAAGGTTGGACGAAGGGGTGGTGGGAAGAAAGTAAAACATGGAACCTTACATTTTTTGAGTTTTTTTAATTTTTAATAATGTAAAGTACATAGACCCAGAAAAAGAAAGAGTCCCTGCTCCTTGTTAGGAATAAACCTCGCAATTAGTTTCTCTGCCATGGCAACGCATTTCGCTGCCATGGCAACGCATTTCATTCCCCTGCCATGGCATGTTTTTCGGCTGACACTGCAGCTGTTTGTTTTTTCTGTTAGCTCTTTTAGCTAGGCTCAACTGATTTGAGCGATTCTTGTGTCGCACTTGATCCATTCGTCGGATGGCATGAACTCTATGGTTCATGGGCGTTGCACGTCCCTTGTAGCCCGAATAAGAGGAGAAGGTAATCAGAAAGTCGCAATTGCACGTGGCACAAAAATACTCTTGTGTCCAGTAACTTCTGTTCTTCGTGTTCGTCAAGAGAGTGTGAGCTGGGAGCGAGAGAATTGCCGACACTCCTTTCTTGTATTGGTAGGAGGGACTGGAGTACTAAATTACCTGTTCTCCTTGAACCCGTGGAATTTCACAAAGGACCGAATGTTACTGGCAGTTCTTGGTTAACAGTTGTAATGTTATTTTCTATCTCTTCATTGACTAAAATACATCATGAAAGATTTGATTCTACCACAGCTAGGTTTACAAAATTGAAAACAATTATGATTCAGGTGCTTGTCATTTAAATTATTGGAGACAAGTGTAGCATAGATGTATCCCAGGGTAAGGAGTATTTTTTCCAGATTCCTTCATGATAACATGATTTGATTTTGTTAAGCATACTGGCTTCTTGAACTTCACAGTTCAGATATCGAATCACTTGGACTAGTCAGATAGTAAATATTCTAAGAAGGATTTGTGTAACAGAATCAGCACATTCTTACCCATGAGAGTGTCTCTTTACAGGACTAACTCTTTTTTATTTGCTGCTGTTAAGGTGAGAGATTGGTACTTGGATTCGTTCCGTGACATCCGGTACTTCCCGGAGGTGAGCAACCAGGACGATGAGCTAGCATTCACCCAGATGATCAAGATGATCAGGGTGCGTCACACAAATGTGGTGCCCACCATGGCATTGGGTGTGCAGCAGCTGAAGAAGGACCTGGGTGGTACAAAGGCATTCCCCTCTGGAATTAATGAGATCCATCAGTTCCTTGATCGCTTCTACATGTCAAGAATTGGGATCCGCATGCTGATAGGTAAGCATACACAGCACCTGCCTGTTTGTTAATAGATTTTAAATCTACAAACTGTTACTAGTGTCCATCGACAAGTTTCTCTACTACTATAATAGACTCAGTTGGTGATGATGGTGTGTTTGCCATCCGTCATTTCTGACCATCAGATTTGCATCCAACGACTGTGAGGTAAGCTGTGGCATTTTTGCAACAAGACCGCACTTCTCTGCTCTAATTTACAAAAAAAACCTTAGTATCTTGAAACCAACCACATCCCTGCCTCACCTAAAAAAAGCCACGAGGAATATATTTTGAGTGAAACCTAATACGAGTATATTTTTAGTGACACACACACACACACACACACACACCAAAACTAGAGTGTTTTTCTTTCAAGTTTGTGAACATGTATTGTTCTACTTTGGATCCGTTGCAACGCACAGACACATTGCTAGTACTAATATGCTTTTAGGTGTTAAGCTCCAGTTCTAATTCGTAACCGGTGTTTCCGGATTAATAGAAATGCAATCCTTCCACAGTGTACTGGCACACTACTCCAACTTAGCATCTGATATGGAAGTTCAAATTTTATTTTATTTTCTGCCTTGCCAAAAAGAAGAACTACCATGAGCCTGCCTTTCTGCTTAAGAGCAGGCTAAAAGTAATTAATTTTTAAAGCATAGGTTTGGAGTAGAAATGAAATTTAATAGTCAGTAATAATTACTTCGTTTGGCAGGGGTACTTATTAGTTTGATAAGAACAAAAACTATTGTAAGATACCAGTATGATATCATTTTTCTTAGAAAGTGGTCGTCAGTGGTTATTCATACCCAGTCATTTTATGTTTTCCTGCCAAAAACTACAACTGGTGTAAGATAACCATTTATGAGTACAATGTTTTCATTTGAATCGTGCTACTGAAGATAGATAACACAATGTTCTTGATTTCAGGGCAGCATGTTGCTTTGCATGATCCTGATCCAGAGCCTGGCGTCATAGGGCTCATAAACACAAGATTGTCCCCCATGCTGGTGGCTCGACTTGCTAGTGAAGATGCACGCGCTATTTGCATGCGAGAATATGGATCAGCTCCTGATGTCAACATATATGGGCACCCAGATTTTACGTTTCCGTAAATCCCTGATTTTCAATCCTCCTATATGCTTCCATTTTGATTTGAACCGATCTTACTGTATTATTCATTTCATCAGTAATATAGTTGAAGTGCATAAAGTATTGAATGAATTTTGCTTTCATTTCTCAATTGCAGATATGTGACAATACATCTACATCTTATGATGTTTGAATTGGTGAAGAATTCTCTTCGTGCAGTACAAGAACGATTTATGAACTCTGATAAACATGCACCTCCTGTTAGGATCATAGTTGCTGATGGAGCAGAGGATGTAACTATCAAGGTTTGTCTCTCCCCATGGCTATACAGTTTATTTTGTGAATCACAAGCTTCTCTGTGTGCAAGAGTTAACCTTGTATGCTTTTATCAATGTACCTCTTTTTTGTTTATATAGCAAATGAAAATGATAAAAAAAGATAATCAAATTGGCATTTAACGCAAATTCTGATATACAATCGTGTGAAACACTTAGTATTCGTTCTGCAGAGACCAAATTATTGACTAGTAAGCAATGACATACCCAAATCCAGACCATCATGGTTTTGTATACTTATCCAAAGGTGAGATATACCTCAGGACATTTATCTCTCTTGAAAGAGTGGCTCATGTATGCAAGAACAGTGTTGGAGCGGCATATTAAGTTCCACTACATTTGTTGGGAAAGATCAATATTCTGTATCGCATTACAGTGCCATAATTGTTACAGAAATTTTGCTCCTCAATTATGTGCAAGACATCCCATCCTTGTTCCATTTTTCTTCTTCCATGATAACCCTACTGGAAAGTGTTCCTGTAAATAATTTCTTATATGGACCACATACATTAGAACATGTGTTGCTAGTCAGCTTTGATTGATCCAATCCTTAGCCACGTGACTTGCGTTTATAACCTTTCCAATGCAGATTAGTGATGAAGGTGGTGGAATACCAAGAAGTGGCCTCCCAAGAATATTCACCTATCTCTACAGTACAGCAGAACACCCACCTGATCTAGATGGCCATAATGGAGTGACAATGGCTGGGTATGGTTATGGGCTCCCAATTAGTCGTCTTTATGCTCGATATTTTGGCGGGGATCTGCAAATAATTTCTATGGAGGGATATGGTATGTCCATTTTTCACTTCATATGTTAAAGGAGTGTTGAAGAGTGCCCTTCTTTTTTGCTGAGCTTTCCTCTATATATTAAACTTTTGATTTCCATGAATTTTTGTCTGAAAGTTGACAGAATGTGAAGATTAGAAACCTTGGCACTTACTCCCTCCATCCCAAAAAGCTTGTCTTAGATTTGTCTAGAATCCCTATCTAGACATGCTCTAGTGTTTGATACACACGTATCTAGATAAGTGTAAGACAAGCATTTTGGGACGGAGGTAATAGTATTTGGTAGTTAAGCATTAATTGTTTCTTCCACTCCGCGCCTAATAACTACCTAAGTTGGGAATTGCTGCAATATTTCCATTACTACTAAACTTATGATTATCAATGTGTTTGCTCTTTTATGTAGGAACTGATGCTTACCTCCACTTATCACGTCTGGGAGATTCAGAGGAACCCTTGCCTTAAGAGATTCAGAAGGACCCATTACCTCATTGACCTGCTGCTCTGATATCATTTGCTGTTATTAGGATGATGTAATTGTTGGCTAGTATGCAAATATCGTTACCAAGGCCAGCCATCAATATATGATTCAGCTGTTCTGCTCTAGTCAATATATGTGGAATGACACCATAACCAAGGCTCTAGTTTTTTCTTACCGTCATTGGAATTTGGGTAGAATGACGTTGCAGAACTACTTGTCTAAAATTGTTTACTAGAGGCAGCTGGTTTCATTTAAAATATGTCACCGTCAACATAATCTGAGCATGTCTGCTACAGAGCTCAAAACGGGAAGTCCTCACATACTTCCAGTGCGTCTCCTTGGCATCTTTACTAAAAGAAGGATTACTGGCAGGAGTTTCCTTTTGCATTGCCAATCAAGTTAATTTCTATTTTTTACAAGTGATTTGACTTTATTTATTAACCATACACTTGGAATCTATATCTGCACTGAACTCTTGGAGGGTTTGCCCACTCTTCTTACTGCTATAGACTGATGGTTCCCGTTCTGAATAACTAGTAAAATGCACGTGCTTTGCACGTTGGTTTGTAAAAAATGGAGAAACATTTAATCATAATTTTGTAGAATTTTGAACTTGAATAGATGTAGCTACGATTTAATGAATTAGAACTTGGGTTAATTTCTTCATTTATAATTGTTTTGTCACTTCTTATCACATTGTGAGGCATACTCTATGGCCAATCAAAGGGCACTCATCTTCTGCGAAGCTTGAAGGCACCATGAAGACATTGGTCTTTATATTCTCAAGGGCATCCGCTTCAACACGCATGATTTCTTCATCGCTTCAACACGCATGATTTCTTCATCAGGCAACTGACTGCTTCATGCATTGATCTCTTTGGCCAGAATTTTTATGCTCCATGAATGATGCGGCTGATTAAGCTTCGCTCCACCATCAATTACCAAGCTTCAGCCCGCAATCATGTTGTCTTCTTGTTTGAGGTGGATATGTCACATGAAGCCATATATCCTCAGCCAGCCAAAGAACCACTCCGTAAAGACAATGCTGCCTTTCAGAGCTTCTCTGCTCCTATTGAAGCTACTCATGTTCCAAATCCTGTTGTTGCTGGTCCACTTGCAGCTTCGTCTGCCGCATTGTGCTCACACTGATGCAACAACCAGCACAGTTCCTCAGAGGGCTTTGAAGCGTGCTCGAGTACTCAAATGATAGAGAATTTTTAGTTTCTCTTCATCAAAAGCATGATAGGCATCACGATTGGATGAAACACTAGATGCAAAGTCTTCTTGTTGATGTCAATCGTATCCGCAACCTCTCCGGCAAGAATTCTTTTGTTGCTCATGAAGCCGACCAGCGTGCTTGGAAGAGCCTCACAATGCCACAATGCTTTGTTCTGAAGATGATCTCATTGCTGATGGCTTCATCGAGCGCTTCAAGTTTGACTCCAAGTCTCCGGAATAGGCCAAGTGGCGTCCTACACCATCCATTGAAGGCTCCAACTACTCATCATTCATCCTAATTGTTATTGCACGCGTGACTGATGAGGAGGACGACATCACTTCACCAGCAATAGCTTCACTGCATCAAGATGTTGCATCAGGCCCTACTGCACTACCCAACTCCAACGTTGACCTGCCGCAACAACATCTTCACCGCCGCCTCCCGAGAACACTTAGACGCCCTATGTCTTTATTCCTTTTTGGTCATTCGATGACAAAAGGGGGAGAAGCATATGCGTTGATAGTCTTCAAGCGGGTTTATCGGGTCAGGTGCTATATTTTTGTTAAGTTTGCAACAGCTGGTTTTTGACAAGGCAAATTATTTATATGCACATCTTTAGGGGGAGCCCTTCAACTTCATGAAGCCAATGACCATGTTCTTTAATTTCACATATTTTTATCCCCGTTAAAAACTTTAACCAGTTTGTCATCAATCACTAAAAAGGGGGAGATTGTAACTGCATCTAGTGCCACCCCTAGTTGGTTTTGGAGTATTGACGACAAACGTGGTTGAGGGACTAATGTGTTTGTGAGATTCACAGGAGAACACAGGTAGAAGTTCCTATTGATTCGGTTTGCCCATCGAAGATGACCCCTAAAAATGTATGAAGACATTGGTGGTTCATGAAGACATTCGTGTTGAAGATAATGACGCATGAAGACAATAGAGTGCGAAGACATAGTTTCTTTTGTACTTTCATTATTTTCTTTCTTGAGTCATAGGAATCACCGACCTGTCAAGTGGCATTCAAGTGAACAAAGTCAGAAAACTGACGTGATGCTCAACCCAAATCCTATGTCTTTGAGTGAAGACAATGAGAGAAAAACTTATCCTGAGTTGGATAAGTCAGCTTTACTTGTAGCCCAAGTCAAGCTGTCGCGTGTATTTGAAATCCGACCATTGGACACATGTCGGTTCCCCAATGACACAGGGTCATTTCGAACAAATCATGCCGGGTTTCCCTCTGGCTATAAATAGCCACCCCTTCCACCATAAATTGGTGGCTGCTTAGAGTTAGTGCATGGCCTTTGTCGTTTGAGAGCAACCCACCTCCGAAGCCTTTGAAAGAGAATCCTTGCAAGGACAAAACCCAAAACACACAGAGCCCAAAGAGTGATTGGCATCACTGAAGTCTTTCTGTCCGCGTGATCTGAAGACTTATTACACTTGAAGGCTGTGATCTTCCAGTCGGTTAGGCGTCGCGTTCTGAGGGTCCAAGAGTCATTGTGGATCGCCAGTGAACGAAGTCTATGAAGATTTGGAAGTCTACTTTAAAGACTTAACTGAGTGACTGGGCGAGGACTAAGTGACCTTAGCTCAAGGGGAATAAGGTGAAGATATGGTCTTCTGAGTTCAATCTCAGCCTCCCTAACCAGACGTACAGTTGTCACAGCAACTGAAACTGGTCTACCAAATCCTTGTCTTCGTCAAGCAACTGGTTCTATCACTTCACCCCTTTACTTCCAGTTTAGCTTCGTGAAGTCATTGCTTACCTGCTCTGGTTGAATACCTTGTGTGAAGACATTCACCCTGATTGCATATTTGGCTTCACACTATCTTCCTATTCTTATCTATCTACCTAGCTGCTACTTGTCTTCGTGCATTCCCTGTATTGTACTTTGACTCTATTGCATGGCTAATGTAGTTTATCTTCTGCTGTGTTTTGTTTGGTGGCTGTTTTTAACTGCCTGTCTTCGAAAACATTGCTTGTCTCGAAGACTTTCATAAAATCGCATATTCACCTCCCCTCTAGTCGATAACTAGCACTTTCAATATCTCAAAGATTGTGTGAAGAAGTTTGGAATACAAGATTGCAAGGGCTACAAGACACCAATGCCAACCGACGGTCAATTGGGTTCCGACGATAATGGCAAAGAGTTCGATCAAAAGGTATACCGCTTCATGATTGGTTCTTTATTGTACTTATGTGCATCTAGGCCAGATATAGTGCTTAGCGTTTGCATGTGTGCCCGATTCCAAGAAACACTAAAGGAGTTGCATCACCTTGCGGTGAAGCGAATACTTCGATATTTGGCTCACACCCCAATGCTAGGATTATGGTATTCAAAGGGCTCAAAGTTTGATCTAGTTGGATTCTCGGATGTTGATTATGCTGGTGACAAGGTGGATCGCAAGTCTACATCAGGCACATGCCACTTTCTTGGTCGATCGCTTGTCTGTTGGTCTTCAAAGAAGCAGAACCGCGTGTCACTCTCTACTGCTGAAGCTGAATATATTGCTGCTGGATCTTGCTGCGCTCAGCTTCTATGGATGAAGCAAACTCTCAAGGACTATGTCATCAACAAGAAGATGGTGCCACTCTACCGTGACAATGAAAGCGCCATCAAGATTGCACACAATCCTGTTCAGCACTCCAAAACCAAGCCATTCAGATTCGTCATCATTTTCTCAGGGATCATGTGCTAAAGGAAGACATAGATATCATTCACGTCAACACTGAAGAGCAATTGGCAGATATCTTCACAAAGCCTTTGGATGAGAAGAGATTTTGCAAGCAGCGGTGTGAGATAAATATCTTAGAATCCTCAAATGTCCTGTGAATGTACACACATTCTAACGCTTATGCATGTTGACGACTTAGGTTCGCAACACATAAATAACCTATGTCTTCAGTTCATGAAGATATACACTATAAGTGTGAAGACTTTAATGTGTAAATTGACTTCAGAGCGCCACGATAATTGTGCGCCGTGTCTGGGTCTAATACTTCCTATACGGTGGGTAACGCCACCACCAACTGTTCTCGAAGATTTTTATTTGGTGTCACATAGATTGCATTATCTTCATAATTGGTTTGTCTTCCACATTGGATTTATCTTCATGATTTCTCTTCGCGTTCTATTTGATCTCACTATATATATATAGCCGGTCTATTATGCTAATATTAGCAGAATATTTATTCTGATAACACTTCCGTACTGCATGCCCAACGTGAGAGCACTGCACTTTTTGTAGCAAAGGTACTGCAATACAGAGACTAGTGAACTTCGTGTCTGAAAAAATTGCACGCGTTGTTTTTTCGGTACTGTTTTAGCTCTAGTTTTTTAACAGTTTATCAGAATGACAAGTGTAATATATTGTTGAGAAGCTATGGATTAGGCACGACTTCACCATGTTGAACACTTTTTGAGATTCATCATAGTTTAAGAGCAGTTTCAAAAATAGTGCGGCGCACGACGAGTGCCAGCGAGCGTTTTTTCGCGTTTTTTCTAAACTGCCCGTCGGATGAAGCAAATGAGACACCGTTGGAAAGATATCATCGAGGAGCATCTTTTTCGTATCTATTATTTTCTCCCATTTGTTACGGTTTAAGAGCAGTTGCAAATTTACTAAATCGCGGAATTGTGTTTTTCAATTTTTTTGATTTTTTCGGTACTGTTTTCGCTCCAGTTTTTCAACCGTTTGTCAAAACAAGACGTGTGATACGTCGTTGGAAAGCTACGGAAGAGGCGTAACTTTCATATG